AATGCACAGTCTCCACAGAAACAAGACATTTTCCCAATTGTATACATGGTTTTTAGCTTCTTTGTAGGAAAAAAGAGCTCTGATTTAAATTTCATATTTTTGATGGCCACTGAGAATCAATACTTAATTTTCTGATAGCATAGCTCATAAACCACACTTGCATACCTTACTCTGTACATTCATTCTATCTTTTAGCTGTAACAGAAAGGAAAGCCATTTCCTGAGGCAAGTTGATATAAAATTTATTTTACTGTTAATAATCTTAATTTAAATAGTATAGACAACACCATTATGAAGAGCGGAGCATACAATATCATTCATGTGCATCAGGAAAACAAAATAAAATCTGAGACATCTGCATTTTAATTGTAACCAGGGCTGGATTTCAGTGTTGAACAATTAATTATCATTACATGATTCTGAAATATCAGTGGGAGAGTGTCAAAGAAGATGAGTCTTCCATGTTTACAAAAGATTTTGCCTGTAGCATACTGTATGCTTTTGTAAATCATTTATCTTCTAGCTTAAACCTGTCATGGTATGAAATATTGTAGCAGTGATTCTGCGTGACAGAATAATGAAACATTGAAAAAAAGTCCACACTGCCATGACTTTTCCACAGAATTTTGGGCCTGAGAACCTGAAAAGCTGCACATGAAATAGCTTTTATTTTCACTCCATCAAAAACTAATCCAGGCCAATGAGTTCCTTTCTACATAGGGAATACGCTATTCCACTGTTTGTGGATTTTCCTATATTGACCCGGCTTTAGCTTTTTTTTTAAACTGTGCTCTATTATAAGATCTCATATACTGTACTGGATGCCAAAATAGTTCCTGAAGAGGTTTCATTCAGTAAATATTTGAATGCTATATTTCATGTTGAAAGTTGGAGCCATCGGGAAGATTACAGAAGAAGAGTTTTTGCTGTTTTCTTTAGGAAAAATACTTTATCTTATGTCAGCATCTTTACTGGAGTACGCCTTCATTCTGCAAAAAGCTTGTTTCAACACTTTGTTGTTGTGAACAATCTCTGACAAATCTACATGTCATGGTGCACATTAGCAAGTGAATTCAAGAAGAAATTTGGTGTCTTCTTCCACAAAGACCAGCATTTTTTGAGGACCATCATGTCAGTGAGTGATTCCTACACAACTCTCATCAAGCACTGAAAGCAAAGACTCTTTTCTTAATGCAATGTCTTCTATCAGGACTCAAAATAATACAGTTACAGGTAAGAATTTCCTAAAACTGATCTTAAAGAGCTCAGCTTTAAAAACTTATGGCTATCCTCTGCAACTGTACTTGAATATATTGTGATGAGACAGATATGAAAACTATTAGACAAAACACATTAATTACACCAATCTTTAAAATTTCAGACTGAGACAAATCATTATCTTGAGTGTAGAAAACAGATTAAATTGATTGTCAAATTTACTTTGACTTTCTTAACGTTTGTTACTGGAATAATTTCAGTAACGATAGATTAGAGAAAAAGCATGGGTCAAGGAAAAAGCCTTTATTAATAACTTAAAAAAATAACTATAATTCAAACAAACATTTATATTTTAAAATTAGAGGTTTTGGGTGCAAGGAATTCTTCTCTTTTTTATTGTAGGAGTATGATTGAAAAAAAAGCAGTTAAAATGGAAGTACTTGTTTTGTCTTATTCGATGTATCATGTCATCCTCATTTTTGAATGGCTACTGCCAGGAATGATTTTTATCTTTGTCTTTCAAAACATAAGCATTCATGTTTTCTACATTCACAGAAGTGGATTAAATACTTCCATGATATATTCTATAGGTACCTGGTGTAATTTTCCAAATATTCTGTTTAAAAACAAGAAAAAGAGTGAAGGACTGTCACTAGGTAGGACAGACAAAGAGCTCAAGAAAAATGACATATATTCTATCATAATCATATCCCTAATATGTCATTGAATCCTTGTATGGCAGGGTTAATCGTATCTAATCCATGATTTTCTTTCTTCATATCAGCATTTTTGGGGTTTTTTTTGTGTAGGCACTGTGAAATGGTCAAACAGAATTTCTTAATACTGATCTTAACATGCGTAGCATGGAAAGAAAATTAGTATTTGTCTAATTATTCTCAGTAACTATGCAGAACAGTGGGATTTTTCCCTTTTTCCATGTCTTGTTTTGGGAATTCTGTCTTGGATTCCAGAAATCACAAAATGACACTTCCATCCAGAATGACAAAGATATGAACTACAGACCATTAACATTTTGAATATGTTATTACTGTAATTTTATCTCTTTACTTCTTGACATCTGTGTGATAAACTAAGAAGTATCAGATTTGATGGAAATGGGAGGACATACTGTTTCCAGTTTATCTGGAACAAACTAGCTAGGTCAAAAGCATGTATTTGTAAAGGCTAGAAATATCAAGGAATGTGCAAAGGTGTTTAATTTGCCGCTGCTGAATGAGTGTGATAAACTAAGAAGTATCAGATTTGATGGAAATGGGAGGACATACTGTTTCCAGTTTATCTGGAACAAACTAGCTAGGTCAAAAGCATGTATTTGTAAAGGCTAGAAATATCAAGGAATGTGCAAAGGTGTTTAATTTGCCGCTGCTGAATGACGCGGGTGTCCTGGTGATGGAGGATGCGGAGAAGGCAGAGCTACTGAATGCCTTCTTTGCTTCAGTCTTCAGTGCCAAGGAAGGCCCTCAGGAATCCCAGGCCCCGGAGGTAAGAGAAGAAGAC